GTAGCTGCTGTGTGATTGCACACAGGATGATCTGCTCCATAACTCTGCCAGGCACCGAGGTCAGGCTGACAGGCCTGTAGTTACTAGGGTCAGCCTTGCATCCTTTTTTATGGATTGGGGTGATATTTGCCAACTTCCAATCATCTGGGACCTCCCCCGTGAGCCAGGACTGTTGGAAGATGATGGAGATGTGTAAGGAAAAAAAGTAGGGAGTATACATGAACAGCGAGAAGCTAGACTGAACTGTGTAACAGGTAGATTTTACATGATGTTGTGTGCAATAAAAATTACAATGACCTTTGGAAATATGCTTAATATTTTCTTTTAATTAAAGTAAGATGAATACTTGTGAAGTTCTCCTATTTAGCAATGAAAACACTTCTAATGCTAAACTTTGATGGTGGTATCTCTTGTCTCTGTTATATTTAGGTTAATGCATTAGATAATCTTGGCCAGACCTCTCTTCATAGAGCAGCACACTGTGGTCATCTTCAGACATGCAGGTTGCTGCTGAGTTCTGGATGTGATCCTTCCATCGTGTCTCTGCAGGGCTTTACAGCCTTACAAATGGGGACTGAAAGCGTGCAACAGCTGCTACAGGGTATGCTGATTTATTCAACATCTGCTGTAGTGCTTTGTTTTACTTGCCATTTCAAGTGCTGTCAAGAAATAATAGTGAAGACAAGTAAAAAAAAAAAAAAGTGTGTTCTTCAAGAGACAGTACTGGGTTGTGGAGTTTCATTTCCTAGTTAACAATATCATTTACTCTCTAGATTGTCAGAGATGCTCTGAATGTTTGTGGCATAGCCACCTGAAATAATTTTAGAAAAATTCTGACATAGTGTGGTGGGAATTTTGAAAATTAATTTCTAAAGCAAAATTGTCTTCTTTGCATCTGTGGGCAGAGGCAACAGTGTACAAGGATTTTCAAGGGTAAGGTTTGGGCATTATACATGTAGGTAAACTTGATATAGTCTAATTCTGAAACTAAAATAAGAATGGTTCCACAGTACTTCAAAACAGATAGGAAGCATGTTGCTAAAGACAACTTTGCAATACTGTTAGCTCTGTCAACTATAGTTGTAAATAGTAAGCAAAGACAAAACCTGTCTGTAATTGGTTAACTTTATTTCAAGGATTTGCCTTAAAAAACTCAAATGATTTCCTATCTTAACAAATCCTTTCAATGGTCTACACTTACCTGTCATGCAACCTCATTTATTTTGCAGAAGGGATCCCATTGGGTAATTCTGATGCAGATCGACAGTTGCTGGAGGCTGCAAAGGCTGGAGATGTGGATACTGTAAAAGTAAGCTTAAACCTGTACTTAAAAATAAGAGAATTTGTCATGATTTAACCCCAGCCAGCAACCAAGCCCCACACAGCTGCTCGCTTACTGCCCCACCTGTGGGACTGGGGAAACAATCAGAAGGGTGAAAGCTGGAAAACTTTTGGGTTGAGAGTTTAATAGGGAAAGCAAAAGCTGCACGCAAAGCAAAGCAAAACAAGGAATTAATTCACTGCTTCCCATGGGCAGGCAGGTCTTCAGCCATCTCCAGGAGAGCAGAGCCCCATCACGCTGGGAACACAAACACCATCATTCCAAATGTCCCCCCTTCCTCCGTTTTCCGCTGCTGGGCATGATGCCACATGGTCTGGAATATCCCTTTGGTCAGTTTGGGTCACTTGTCCCAGCTGTGTCTCTGCCCAACTTCCCACACACTTTCAGCCTCCTCACCGGTGTGGCAGCACAAAAAGGCCTTGGCTCTGTGTAAACCTTGCTCAACAGTAACAACATCTCTACATTTTCAGTCCTGTGTTCAGCACAAATCCAAAACACAGCCCCATACCAACCACTGTGAAAAAAAAATTACTCCACTACAACCAAAACTGGCACAGAATTATATCTCAGTCTATAATTTCTCAAAGCAGGCAATCAAACAGCTCTTCTCTGACTGCTTTAGAGTTGTGATCCCTGTCCTAAGACCTTTATATTGTACAGTTATTATAGATGACAGACTATAATATTCACCACCTCCAGATGTTTGCCCTATATAAAAAACATAAATAAGTCACACGTGTGGATTTGGGAGCAGGTGGATTTTTTTCTTAGGACACAATTTATGAAAAGTAAAGACTTTACATAAAAATAAATTTAAAACTTTCTTTTTAATAAAAACAGTTATTCAAAATTAGATGTGTATAAAAACATACTGTGACTAAATTAAAAGTGCCAGCACTACATAATTAGTAACATATGTTTTATTTTGGGAAATTCACAGAAGCTATGTACTGTTCAGAGTGTGAACTGCAGAGATATTGAGGGGCGTCAGTCTACACCACTTCATTTTGCTGCTGGATATAACAGAGTATCTGTTGTGGAGTATCTTCTTCAGCATGGAGCTGATGTGCATGCAAAAGATAAGGGGTAAGTGCTTGAATGTATATTTTTCTTGGCAATTGTAGTTGGTAATATCTGTCAGCTTTTGAACATTGCTAACTGATAAACGTGCCATCTTTCTTCAGACATTTTTTATTTTCATGGAACCTTCTGTTAGAATGATGATGTTCATAATATCCAAAAGCATTTAGCAGTACCTGGGCCTAGAGTGTCAAGGGTTTCTCTGGCCCTGTCTTTTTGCTCCTCTTCAGTGCTGCTGCTGATTGCATTTTCACTGCTTTGGCAGTAGGTACTCCTACTGTATTAGACTACGAGGGGGGATAACGAAGTTTTTGTTATGGTTTCATTGTTGAAGGTGCATTGTGTTTTAAGTTTATATCACTGAGTGAAAAAATACCCTATTTTCAAAGAGAATTTTTCTTTTCTTTTAATTGTTTCCAGAGGACTTGTCCCGTTACATAATGCTTGTTCATATGGTCACTATGAAGTTGCAGAACTGCTGGTTAAACATGGTGCCGTTGTCAACGTAGCTGACTTGTGGAAATTCACTCCTTTGCATGAAGCTGCAGCAAAAGGAAAATACGAGATTTGCAAACTCCTGTTACAGGTATAACACATGCTGGAGAAAGGTTGCTTTCTTTTCTTTCTTGTTCCCTCTGAAATGTAAATGGACATCTTTGAAAAATGATTTGTGCTTTGTGGTTTCTAAATGATTATAGCTCAGTGTTTTCAGTAAAAGGGATGCTATTAGCGACTATATTGTCCTTTCTCACACAGTAAATGGAAGGCTCTGAAGGATTCCAGCGTATGTCAGAATATTTGCTCAGTAAGATGTAAGATGCTTAAGATGCAGCATGTTTATTCTACTGACATATTTCCCACCCATTTTTGATGTGCACAGCATGGAGCTGACCCCACGAAGAAAAACAGAGATGGAAATACTCCTCTAGACCTTGTTAAAGATGGTGATACTGATATTCAAGACCTACTTAGAGGAGATGCAGCTCTACTAGATGCTGCAAAGAAAGGTTGTTTGGCCCGAGTAAAAAAGCTGTGTTCACCTGACAATGTCAACTGTCGGGACACGCAAGGACGACATTCAACACCACTACATTTAGCAGGTCAGTGTTCTAATTAACTGGTTTGATCAGTTACTAAATACTGTGGCTGAACTTCTATGTCTGAGCAAGTTTAAAGTGTAGCCTCAAAGCTAGAGGATTCAGTATTTTCTCTTTTGAAAAATTAGTATTTCAGGCATATTAATCTTACATTGCTCCTCCAACCATTTGCTTACTTTAATTTCGTGTTCTCTCTAGCCGAAAAAGATCTTCTATTGTTTATTGATGGGTTTTAAAACCAAATACTCTTAATTAGGGTTAAAGTGTCCTCAGTATTAAGTAATATACTGTTCTCACTGGGACTGACATATTAACTAACTTTCAGGTAATTTAAGTGAGGTACTACCTCTCTATGGCCTGTTGGGGGTGTTTTCTTACTCTGTTTATTCTGTCCTTCTGCAACCTTCCAGCTGGTTACAACAATTTGGAGGTTGCAGAGTACCTGTTACAGCATGGAGCAGATGTGAATGCACAGGATAAAGGAGGTTTGATTCCTCTGCATAACGCAGCATCCTATGGGGTAAATATCTCAAACTTTCTTAGATTTTATTTATTGAAAAAAGTGATACATTTCAGTGACAGCATTGTGAGCCAGTACTTTGTAGAATGCTTTTGCTATCGAGTTATAATGTAATCTTATAATAGACAAAATCGATAATTTGATCATTGGTGAAGACTTAGGAATTTGTAAAATCATGAATGCAGGTTACAGAACTGAGTTTTCTGAACCTGAATACCTAGGAAACCAGCAGTTTTAAAGGTGTTCTGTAAAATGCCTTTCCTTACCTGTGCCACTTGAATTTTATCAGCAAGATCTCACTTTCACTTATATGGCTGCTGTTGAGACAGCAATTGTTTTTTTGAACTTGAATCTTTGTGCTTTAATCAAGTCTTTAACCAAAACAGCTGGAGTATTTTATAAACTGGAATTTTAAAATCAGGCTTGCTTTCCTTCAGATTCCCCTTGATTTGGGATTCTGTTTTACTCTGTCCTTTTTTCACAAGAGAACAAATCTTAACTTTTTGCTGGTGTGTTATAAGTGAAGGAGGAAACACCTTGTTGTAATACTTTTTGAAATCATAATTAAATGTATTCTAAGAAAAATCAGAATAGCTCTGATTACAGAGACGTGTCAGTAATAGTTATGAGTTACTTTAATGCACTGTGGTACCTTGGAATTTAACAGGTATTTTTATTTTTCCAGCATGTTGATGTGGCAGCTTTACTTATAAAGTATAATGCATGTGTGAATGCCACGGACAAATGGGCTTTCACACCTCTCCATGAAGCAGCCCAGAAAGGAAGGACTCAGCTTTGTGCCTTGTTACTGGCACATGGGGCTGATCCCACTCTGAAAAACCAAGAAGGACAAACGCCACTGGACCTGGTCACTGTAAGTGATGGGGCTCATCTTGGGAAATCTGTACTTATCTGCAGTTTGTGACAGCTCATCTAAAAACTGTCCTTGGACAAAAGGGTAGTACAGCAACTTCTGCAGAATTTAAAATACTCTGGTTTCTCTGGTGTTTGTATGTGTCTGGTAAGGAAAGTCAGTAGAGCCTTTATAAACCTGCTTTAAAGAATTTCTTGCTTCAGACATCTTATTTCAATATAGATTAGGGGGAATAAACCCAAAGCAACAAGAAGGAATTTATGGTTATAATTTGATGCTTTTAATTCAGTGCTTGTAGTTTGACTAGTACAAAAATTGTGACAATAAAATGTAAGCAAAATTTGTAGCTACATAAATTTCAGAAACTATCCAGCTGTTAAGTTTTTGGGCATGTTTTTCCTAAGTATTATAATGCAAT